CAAAAGTTCGCTGTTTCGACGCTGGGATGGTCGGATTTTGTCAACATCAATAAAATGCCAAATAATCATACGTAACTCGTTAAATATCGAAATTAGAAGGAAAACAACTTTTATTTGAAGCATTTTTCGAAATTTTGAAGAAAAAATTTTTCGTCAGCGTCAATACTTAATTAGATATTTCCTTCTATACTTTTTAGCACGTAGCTATTTATTATTAGCATTGTTCTTCCGACGTCTGATTTCTTTTTAATTATAGGAAATGCGTTTTTCTAAGGTACATAAACTTTTGGGATTGACTGTATAGCCAATACATCCTTAACCGTAACGCGTTTGTAGAAAAACAAAGGTGCGAACCGGTGCGTGCGGTGCTCCAATTCTCAGGTTTTCCGTGCAGGAAAGCCTGTGAAAATCGCTTATTTGTTTATTTTGACGGGTCTCGGGTCTCGGGTCTCGTGGCGATCTCCTTCGCAGTGTATACCAGTACTTGAAGCACAAAAATTAGACACTTCCAACCCTTACATAGACCGCCAATTTTAATTTAATACTTGAACTATTTTCATCATTTCTTAATGTTTTTTATTGATTTCACTTTGTAGACAGTATAAAAGAAAAGAAGATTATGCAAACCTTAAATTAAAAAAGTTATTCTATTTTAGTGTATGTTAACATGTTTTCGACTGGCTTAAAAATAATTTTTTATTTCCTAGAACTTAAGGGTTAAAGATTCTGAACTGGTTTTCATCGAGATTACGTGACGTGGTTTCATCGACTAATTCTATAGATTCTTACTTCATCGCATAGACGGCTAGGTATAATAAACGACAAGTTATGAGGAAAGCAACGAACCGAAACTTGTATTGGGCCAAGCTAATAACCATCTCTCATCTCTCACAGCTGCGTTTAGAGGCTAGAAAATGAACTCGAAAATCCTCTCGACTTAATACCCCATTACGGTCTCGATGTGGATATAGTGGGGTACCGCTTACGACCTCCGACCTTTCGACGACTGATTTATTACTTTGCTCCGATCCCTCAACTGTGCTTCTTCGCCCGCTTTTCCCTCTCTATCTTTTTTATTCGTCTCGTTCACTTAAGTAATAGACTTTGACGTTTCCCCGAATTCTAACCACGAAGACGCAATGATTCTGTGGATTAACAAATCCGTGCGAGTCTTCTAAACTGGAGTCTCGACAAATATTCAGAATATTGTTAAGAAGAAGAAAGACAATCTTAAAATCTGAAAGCTTCATGCATATTCAGATGATTAGTAAAGATTGTCATTGCCTGATTAATTTTTATTTTTCATAATAATTCGCAGTCTTGTTATGCTACAGCGATGTAGAGGAATTTCCGCAGATACAATTTTATTACTCAAGCCAGTCTATGTATTAGTCAAAGAGCTATTTTAAAATTTTAATCGATGAGCGGGAATGGCGCCTAGGAAAATCGTAAAGTGTCAGTTTGAGGGTAAACGACACTTTGAAGGAAAAAGAAGTGCGAACAGTTCCCTTCTCATGTTACGCCGCGCAGTCTGTGTTTCGTTGTTTCGCGGCTCGTGACGTGTAACATGCCTCGCGATAGAAACAAACGGGAGGAACCCATCGTCGGGAAATTCTCAGCGGGTATTCTCGGGACTAACAGCTATTTGCTTGGTATTATCCATCCGTTTGAAAAAAGGGATGGGATTATAAATATAAAATCTGTAATTATTTGCATTCTGTAATCGCTTCATCGTTATTTCATATTACTTCATTGGCAGTATTGGATTTAAATAAATAACTATGCAGAGAAAGGATGGATAAGATGAAATGATTGTTGATGATTTTAGGGTAATTGATAACAAAGTGAAGAAACGGAGAGGGACAATTTCAAGTATTTCGAAATATACGTCCGAGTAGGGCATTGTTGGCTAAAGTATCGATAATTGGCAGCTCTCAAGATTCATAGGCCCTTTTTTGCTTCTCTTGAAAGGCGGCCCAAGACTACTCGGGGAAAGTTAATGGGGCTAAACGAATCCGAGACAGGGGTACAGAGCCGTGTTTGGTAAAAAACACGAGAGAAATTTGACGCTCACTATATGTATTCCCGTGGACGTCAAACGGATTTGATTTTTTAGTCCACAATTCCTGACACTTCTGATTCGAATCTATAACTCTTTTAAACTCGAACATCGATATGATACTTTCCAAACTTAAATTATGAAGTTGAATTGTATGATTAGAAGATTTAGAGAAGAGTACAGGTTTAACAATTGTTCATTTAATTTCAAATGCCAACACTTCCGGTAGGGTTAGCGTTTCGCGGTAATTTCTCTTTCATTCATCGTTCTATAGCAAAGGCTCGGTACTCGGTACTGTTTCTTCCATTGAGGCATTGTTTCGAGTTTTCCGTCTTTCCTTCCTCTCGTTTGAAAGGCAAGCACTTCGCTCGAAGTCTTTCTTTCTTTTCTTCATTCTTATCGTTCTCCATATTGCGATTCTTTTAAATTTGAACAGGTTGATCCATATGGAAAGTAGGTATTAGTCATAAAGAATTTTTAGTCACTACGTAACCGATGAATTTATTATCTGTTGACTAATAAATGGAAGGCATAATGACTCGTGATTTTGTTAACACTGTGACGTCAGAACCTCTGACAATGAAATAAACGAGGGTTACCGACCGCCTCCGAAAACGTAATAAGGCTTACTTATTATAGCAGAGTAAAAGTGTGTGTGCTTACATTTGAAGCTCAGTTGTACGGAATGGGTTCATCATACGATTTATTATTAGCATAACTTTAAATTCTTGCTTTGTAAATTAGAAAATAAATTTGAAACAGCAGAAGCATCTGTGCCAGAAATGATTTGAACATACCTTCGAAGTACTCGTTGCCCTACTATAATTTAGAAAACCTGTGATTTTCTTAGCTTTTAATCGTTAGTAGTTCGTAATGACGTTAACCTTCCAGTACTCCACGGAAAATTATATTGTTTGGTCCAATATTAAAACAGTTATTCCGTTTTAAAGGATGTTCGAATACCTTTTGTAGTCACTGTATATTTTATAATTTTTAAAGTTAAGTCAGAAGTGTAAATGCATAAAATCTGCAATTCTTTCGCCTAGACAAATTTTACTGTGAACGTATTTTTTGTAGCACAGTCGTTCCTGTGTAAGGAGACACTTTTTACAATTGTGCAAGTAAATAATGAAGCGTCAGTTTTCTCAGGATTCGTGCAGATTCTTGGAGCACTATCGAAAGATTGTTTTACCGGAAAGTAAATGGTCGTGTGCTGTGGTCGCGTGCCACGGCTCGTATCGCGTTATCATAGGGCTATCGCTTTCTATCAGCCCGCAGAGGTAATTCGCCGTGCACCGTGACACTTCTGTCTTTCTCTATCTGCGCCAAGTTTCTTGTTACACATCAACGAACTTGTCTTCAGATTAAGAAGCTTTTAATAAATACGAGAAATTGTATACCGGTTTTTATTCCAAGCGTACCGTTTGATGCACGAACGTAATGGAAGAGCAGAAGTCGGACGAAAAAAAAATGAGAGGGAAGGCCGAGATAAAGGGACTACTATTCAATCTCTGAAAATCTCGTCGTAAACCGCATCGATGCGCGCCGTCTTGGATAGTACGTCGCGGATAACAGCGAACGTTTTTATGGGGCCAACGAGATAAGAGCAACCTTTGCCCCCGTTTGTACAAAACGTCTTCCGCTCTTCGACTTCAACCATACTCGGTATCTCTCGCTTCGCTACCACTTCTATGGGGAACGCCGATCTCGTTTCTTCCACCGACAGCAACGAGCTTCTTTCGCGGTTTGCCTCTCACACTCCCACGCCCGTTTCCCTAAAATTTCTGAGAAAAAACTAATCAATCTGATATTTTATATAGTACGAAAGAAGCATGCGGTAGGAATTTTGAAGACGAATAAGTTCGTGGTTAAAGCGAAATGTATGTAGTCTTTAATTTTCGAAATGGGCGTTACATCCGATAAGAGCGACGTTAAATCTGGAATACGTGTACAAGTGCGTAGTTTACGAGAAACCGAGAGAGAGAGAGAGAGAGAGAGAGAGACAGGCAAGGGTCAACAATAGGTTCAAGAAGGACGCGAGACTGGTGGTTCTGTTTCGCAACGAGCGAGCGAGAAAGAGGTTCCTCCGAGGTCCGAGTCACGATCGCGTATTTTCATCGTCGAGAATGATTAATAGGGGTCGTGGCATCATGTCTCCGCTGTTCTGTGCCTCTCTCTCTTCTCGAGAGGCGCGTAACAATGGAACTTCGCTTCGATTAATCGCAATTGTTGCCGAGCGAACGATAGACGACGGTTGCACGCGACGAGACGCACGAAAGTACGCGCGGTTGCGTGTTTTGGAGATTGTACGAAAAATGTAATATTTTTTTAATTAATAGAATTCGCCTGATGAAAGCCGGCCGACAGATAGTCCAGCGAGCCTGACCTTTCCAATTCGGTTGGGTAACGTCAATAAGGTCGGCTGAATGTTAAACGAATGATACAGCGTCTTTGGGAAAAATTATCGCAAGCTTCACAGTATTCGGTCTACGAACCACGACATCTCATTCGAAACAATAATTCATGTATTAGAATTTCATCGATCCTACAATCAACCCAATCTCCGATTTATCATTGTCTCCGTGTATTATCTTCTTCAATCTGTAAAGACTAATAAAACAATTCTTTACGAATAATTATCTACTCTTTATTAATTCGTCTTGTGTATAGCAACGCGTTCTACTCTGTGAATCAGCTCCGAATGCCTTGTTGCGCCCTAGGCCTCGCAGTTGGCCCTTTTGTCCCTCCACGGGTATAAACAAAGTTGCCAGCCCTTATCTCAAGGCTCAAACATTTTCCGTTCCTTTGTTTTCCACGCTCATATACCTTCCATCATGCTCTCTGCTTACAAATCTGTATTTACGCGATTTGTATCTCTGTTCAGTGACGGTAGCGATCATCGAAAGATTTCGAAGTCAATTACACGACTCTGATAAGATGTTTCGATAAGATGAAGATTGCTCCAAGATTCTTTCATGATTCTAGGTCTATAGAAGATATAGGCGTACAATGTTTTATAATGTAATAGCACTAGTAATAATGTGGAAGGAGAATAAAATAACAGTACATAACTTACTTTATTTTTTCAAAAACGATTAATTATCATTTTGTTATTTTTCTACTGAACCTTTCCTGCTGGGAAATTACATACGCACACATACATACGTGTATTACTTAAAAAGTGTAAACGGAACGCTTAAACGTAAGACCGTGAACGATGAGAATATACGCGCGAGTGTGCCACGATTGCGAACGAGTTATAGATAAAGACGGCCAACCGGTTATTTTTGTAACGTACCGGCTAGCAACAGTTTGCTCATGTCATCGAAACGTGTCGTCGAACACAGTCCGCATATGCGCGTACTTTCGATTCGAATGATCGATCACCGATTATTAGATATACAAGTGTCACGACGATCTCTCCTATGATCCGTAAGAATTTCTAACACCCTAAAACGTGTTCGTCATACAGTTTGAGATCGATTTAAACATTTTTTTTCAAGTGACTGCACGTTGAGAAAGAAAATAGTTTTCACGCTGCGTTGCAAAAAATATTTGTCATCTCCCTCGATTTTGGTCAACACTCGGTTACCCATCATCAGCATTGGTGTTTATAGAATTGACTACTGCCAAATACGTGGAGGAAACGGGCGACAGTGTCGACGAAGAAGTTGCCGGAGGGGAAGTCAAAGGGACCAACGGCGGAACGGTGAAACGGTCGAGGCCGAGAGCGAGTATTTTTCGGCAACAGTCAGAGGGGTCACAGCAGCAACGGGAACGGGGGCAGTTGACTTACGGGAAGCGTGGAAGCGAAGAAGAAGGCGGGGATATCGTGGGCGTGCTGGAGGCGGGACAACAGGAAATTGAAAATGGCGCGGTGACGGAGACGAGCAACGTCGAACCGGTAGCAATTCCCGTTTCGACGAGCCACGGAATCGACGTCAACGCCGCCTATGGGTTGCATTCCCTGTGCTATGATTCCGTTCTCCAGGAAAGGTGAGCGTAACGTGCACCGAAACAGTCGCCGTTGAGTTAGCTGTATCATCTTGTAAATTTGTGAAACCACTTCACGCCCTTAAGAGGTCCTGTTGTTTCATTCCTTTCGAGTAACGACGTAAGTGGATATAAATATCCGTCTAGTGGAACTCCGCTCGCATGCTTGTATGTCTTTCGTCACTGAAATTTTATTGCATATTTCATTTCAACGACTGCCATAAGACCCGGTGGTCGTAAAAAAACAATTGCATTCTATAGGATCGTGCGATACCCATTGCTGAATCGAATAATCGGCTTAAATCGGAGGTCCACGGTTATTCGGTTGTTATTTTCAAAACAGATAATCCCTTATCTGATAACACATGTAATTAACTGTCGCTTCGTATCAATATATGATTCAAAACTTATTGACCAATAAGTAAAAATTAACTTGAGGTAGATTGATTACTTGTATGAGTCACCCTGCATAACTCAGAATCTAGATTTTGCATCCATGGGTGCACCTGAAATTATTTAACAAGTAATTCCATGGGTCTTCAAGGGGTTATCTGGAGCAGGAGTCGATTCGTTACGGGGGTGGTGATCTAGGCGGTGATTCCACGAGTTTGAGCGAGCGGCAGCAACTACAGGAGCAACAGGTTTCCCAATCCCACCACCATCATCACCAACAGCAGCAGCAGCAGCAGCACCATCACCATCGGGCCGAGTACGTTCAACTGGGGGCGAGACAAGTATCGGTAACCGAGGGTGGGGATAGCGGACAGCCGAGCGAGGGCTCCGTGGTGTCGGAAGAAAACCGGGCCGGCAGTCACGCGCCTCGCTCTACGATGCATCGTTACGGTACTGAATCGCTCTCGGCCCACCGTCATCATCATCATCAGCAACAGCATCAGCATTTACATTCGGGCCAAGCGTCTCAGCACAACGCGCTCTCGAGTCATCGTCATTTGGACGAGCAAGACTCCCAGTCGCATCAAGAGGTGGACGAGGATGTAGACAGAGTGAGCGGTATCGCAGCAGCTATGAGGGGTGCCCGCGGCGATTTTACCTTGTTGTACTCCAATCTGGGTACCACCGGCGCGAGCAACTCCGACAGCGAGGTCGGGACCAACGAGGTTCACCAGTCGCAACAGCAGCATCATACTCAACACCACCAGCACCATCAACTTGACGAAGTTCTGACGGACGACGCGTATCTTCAACATCAGATTCGGAGCGGAGCTGGCAGTGGTAACGGTAGTAAAGGCGGAGGTGGGGGCGGAAGTGGCGCGGAAGGTGGCGGTTCGCCAACGCTGAGAACCGGTAGCTCACCGGGTTCTAGTCGCAGCCCGCACGACGATCAAAGGTTGTCATCGCCGCATCGTCAAGGTCAAGCCGAGGGTGGTTACAGTCCCGGAGAGCAGAGTAGGCAGTCGTACGCTCATTTGACAGCCATGCAGCCACCCGTCTCGGTGCAATCGAATCATGGCCTTACTCAGGACGCCGATCGTGTCTCCGATCAGCTTTACATAGATCCGATGTACTCTCATCACACGCCGGGGGGGTCTCATCATCATCAGGACCACGAGTCCGGGTCGTCGACTCCGCATTCGCCTAGTGGAGTGCTTGCCAGGTTAGCGTTTATACACTAGTTTAATATCAAGTTCTCTATTTGAACGATGTCATTGCAATACTACAGCCTTTTCGATTTCTATCTTGATAAACAAAGAATCGTTGCACATGCTTAATTCTGGAAGGTCCATAGGAATTTCGAAGTAAATTCGCGTTTTTAAGAACATTTCGTAATCGCCGAAGTCGCCGAATCGCAAGGCGTGTGTACGATAGCCGCGTTTACCATAAAGTATTTAGACGTGGACTTAGGTTTAAGGGATGCTTGGTGTTGTGTATATAGGCGATACAAAACCGAAAATAAGGCTAAACCTTGACGGGACGCGTCGCGACGACGGAAAACAGAGGATGACGCGTTCGTCGGGCTCTATACTAACAGTTTCGTGAAAATGAACAAGGTCCCTCGGTGTTTGCCCAAACGTCCCAGGCACGAGCCGCGCGTCCTCCTCTGAAATGTTTCTCATCGTTTTTGGGTAGAATCGTAAAACGCTTTGCCCGTGAACAGGAAAGCAGCTTGCTTCGTTTTCGAACGGTCGCGGTCTTGATTCGAGACTCTCGCTCGTTTTCACGCTCTCCGCGATAAGAGTTTATTGACTCCGATAGAAGCGATTCTTCGATCGGCGCGTTCCGTTGTCCGTCTTGCGAGAAAACTGTAAGTTATCGGCAGACGGCCGCGTCGATTGCATTTCACGGTTCGCCGGTCTCAGAATTTTCAGAATCCGAAGCAGTAAGAAAACGAGCAATTTTTTCGCTTGGTTGGTCGCGAAGATTTCCTCACGCGGTGAGCACGTGCAAAGGCCACGACCTTCGAATTTAGATATCTGAAGTTCGGGTGCAGAGGACAATCCGGGTTTTGTTTCTCCTTTTTTTATTTCGCGGTGTAATATATCTTGTTGCCGCGATTAGCTTGCCAATGTACGATGACGCAAAGTCTTGTAACCTCTCGCACTCTTCTAAGTACATCTTTTCTGTGCATGTCTCAATCGAGGCATAAAATCTCGTTCGTTCCTGGCACGAAAATGAAAGCGACGAATGCGTTGTCGGTGAATCGTAATCGTCGATCTTTGACGCAAAGTTCGTCCGTGAATCATCGCAGAGTTTACAGTCCAACCGAGTCGTACCCATTGCGTTCCGAGAAACCTTTCGGTATCGTGTGACGCGACCATCGGTAAAGGGGCTTGAAATGTGTGCGTTCCTTTAAAGCGAGACGAAGAGAGGAAAGACAGTGAGGCATGTGGATGCTACCCGTTTCTGAGGTAATGTATCGTTCACCGGTGCGCGTTAAAAAAGGGGCCCGTAAGTACCTTCGGGTTTTCCAAGGGAAACGAGCGGGAACTGAGAAGAAAAGATAAAAAGGATCGGCGCACGTCCGATGATACCAATGCCCGCAGTCGTGAATGAAACGCAAGAAGCGTGTTCTCGCAATCAGTTTTTCGTTACTACGTAACTCGTTCGCGCGATCACCTTCGCTGGAAAAACTATTGTCCTCGCGAATGATATCGCGTGCCGGTGCTCAACTACTTTTCGACTAAACTGCATTCCATTTCATTATTCTCTCATCAATCTTATACGCGTTCGCGCGTCTTTCATGAACTTTATTACATTCAATGCGACCCTTGCAGCATGTTACAGTTAAATTTCATGCTCGTATATGGTTTTGGTGGTTAATGTACTTACCGTACTTGGAAGTAGAGTAAGGATAAAAGCAGAAGGTGTAGAGTAGAGCGTGGTTATGATATAGTAGTGGGAGAGAGAGTTAATCGAGGGCGGGAGCGAGTTTCGTATCGCGAAGAGGGGATAGTGAAGAGAAACCGAAGGAAAGGAAAGAAGGGAGAGATCCGCGGAAGGGGAAATCCTGCACACGTTCTTCGAGGTCCTAGAACACCATTCGCTTCGACGTTTTCTGCACGCATTGTCCGATTCTATTCCGGCTGGCGCGAGTTTCTTTCCTTCGACCGGGCCACGTTGTGTTACTACATTTTTTCTTTTTTTACGTTTCTCCCTTATCGGTCATGCATATTGAAAACATCAGGAGAAGACAAACGGAGGAAGAAGTCGAGGGAGTCTACGATTATTCTACGAACATTATGCAGTGAGTGTTTCCGATAAACGTTACTTACCTTGAGTTTGGTACCGTCGTACGTTTGCTTTTCGAACGAAGCTCACCGTCTTGGTCACGCGTCTATCGGTTCGTTAAAAACGACAAGAGTGTTCGACATTTAAGGAGTAGTTTAGTGAACATAACATATTTCGGAGCACCACACACGTTCTCCAACTGTTTTCTGATTCAGAGGTTTAATTCAAGTTTACAATCTTTGTGCTCCGAATCTTTTTAACAATGCTTTATGTAACATGATGTTCACAGTGCGAACACATGTCAGAAAATATATGTTTAGCTTCATTTTTATTTCACCGGAATATGTTGAGGAATGAAGAAAGATACATTTAGTAGAATTAGGTAAAATAATCGGGGAATGATTAATATTTTGAAACAGCTTGGGGGATCATTTATTTTTGTACGCTAGATTCATTTTGCCACGAATAAGTAGCCCTGCCACGTTTTCACCTTTCCTCTCGCTCGATCCCACCGCGATGTTCACTCACCCCTTCTCTATCTCCTCGAAATGCAACGCAACGGTTCGTTTTTATCGGTGCCTCGTCGCGTCGTGGACGCGGAACGAAGACAGAATAAATGGAAAACCGATAACATTTGCGAAAACATTATTCGTAAATAAATAGCGTGACGAGTAGCCGCTAGATCGAACGATGATATCTAATCGATGTCTCCTGGATAGTTGCCAATCCTAGAAGTCTGATCCTAAAATTGCTGCTCTACTCCGATAAATTTTTGCCGTCGATCAATTGAGTACCGATTGCATTATGAATCATTGCCAGTTCGTTGAAATTCGTAGTTTTTAAGTATATTCTGTACTATTAAAACAGATATACTTATGTAGATGAGGACAAAAAAATAATGAGTTTAAACAATTCGCGGAATTGTTATTGTTGATCACGTCACTTGTAAAGACGTGACGTCAGTAACGTTTCAGTGACGTTAGTAAAAAAAAAATGGCAGTTCCACAAGTATTAATTATCATAAGAAATAGCTTGGTAAACTGAAGTAACGTATATTCGGTGCCAAAAGTAAAAGTTCCGGTAATATACGCGCCGGTTTCCAAATACTACATTTTTCACGTGGAAAACGGTAAGCGTACGCTACGTCTAACGTTGCATTTAGATAACGCCGTTTTCGCGATAAAAGTCCAGCAATTAAAGGCTTGAAATGTGTAGGGTAAACAATAATTAGTGTCAAGTTGCACGGACATATTTATATAGAAATATCATAATATCGTAACGTAACATGTCTTTCTGTGAAAATCAGGTTGGTCGTTTGTCACATTTATCAGAGTAGTATATGTGTACTTAAGCAATTAGGATTGTTGCAATTGATTCAAGAAATGTAGCTTCAGAATCATCAGAGTTTTATTAAATAAACAGTCATAAAAAGTATTCATTACCCTTTATTAAAACTATATAAATATTTGGTGGACCTTATTGAATTAATGGATCTTTGTACTTGAACAAATTTTAATAATAGGTTTAATCGCTAAACAAGTGCATCATTTTAAATAACAGTTTTTATTGATTCAGAGTGTATAATAGCTTTACGTACAGTAGCAGATAGTAGAAGTGCGAACAGTATACAGTAGTTGAGACGATGCTCTTTTGAAAAGTCCTTCAGCCAGGGATTGATGCGTGATCTCGTTCAGGAGGCTCGGATCACTTCTCGCCACCAGTGACGAGCGCTATCGTGAGAAGCGCCTTATCTGCTCGGTGGGTTCAGATAGCGATCCGGTAACAGGGGCTATAACCCTGCCGCCACCGACCTTCTAGATTGGGTTTCGCGATATCTGCATTCCTCGCGAACCAACCGAAACATCTTTTCCATACGTAATTCTTCCCATTCAGCGATGCTGGCGAGGATTCTGTTCAAGCTTATTATATCAACGCAATACTATAAAAAAAATAAGTATGGCGAACAATTGCTTTATACGTTTTAATTGACCATCTAGAATTTTTTGTACCTTCATTATTTATTGTTATTTTATTACATATTATGCATTACAATTAACTAAAAACGTTTTGCTAACGAGTATTTATTACGTCTGACGATCAATTCACTCTATCGGTTTAGCTAAGTGTTTATTTATATTGAAGTAGGTGGCAGACGAACCAAGCGGAGTAGGACTTTGAATCTAGAAAATGAAGTTTAGATTAACGAAACGGTTGATATTAGTGGGTGACGATCGAAAGCGTCTCGTAAAAGTTCTCGGAAGAAACCCGAGCGTGTCGTTCAAGTTTCCCGCGACGAATGCGTGTGTGCGTTCGTGCGGACAAGCGCGTACACCTACGCATTGCATACGTATTATAAATCCTTAGGCGATTGTATATAGAAAGGGACAAGAGTGGTCTCGATTTCCGGTTGGTTGGGCAGTGATATTGGCTGGCGCATTTCTTCGAATACCGACCGAACGTAAGCTATCTCGCGTTCTCAATAGGAACGGGTCAGGGGAATTAACTCACGTGCATTACGTCGGAAGCAACGGAGAAACATTTTAGCCGGCTGCTACCGAGCCGGAACGCTTTGGAAACGAGGGTATTTGTCGCGTGGCCAGGAAACAAGACGCATCCGCGGACGCAATTCTTTGAATGTCCTGTCGTGTAGCGTCGTGTCGTGTGGAAATTACGAGACCTGGTAGCACGTGCTGCATCGCTTACTTTCCTTGCGCCTGAAGAAACCTCGCCGCACCTGGCATAGGTTGAAACCTGCAGGTTTGCGACAAATACGAATGTCCCTCGCCTTATTCTTAACTTTACATCGAAATGACGAATGATTCATTAATTGTAACATGCAGAGAGAATTGATTAAATCGCGCATTCACGAGTTTGTCATGGGGAGACATGTACATATTTTAAACATAATAGGACGTTCGTATATAATAAAATACATGTGTCCACCGCTGGTGCTAATCACGTGCATTGTTCGCGACGCATGCTACAGCCGTTCGGATTTTTTTCTTCTTTGTTTCTGCATTCGGGAATGGTGATCGTGGAAACGTCGAAGGCCGCAGTTCCCATCGGGTTTATCAATGTTTCGTTTACATTGAATACCGAGCTCAGTTTGGCTCGGAATCGTTCCGGGAGAGCACGCGAATCGTCAAACGAGCACGTACCGATCGGATGGTACGTGTCTGTCGAGCCGCGGAAAACGTCAAGGCCGCGCGTTTCTCGGTTTTGCGCTTTACTACGTGTGTTCGTCGCGATGAAGAATGATGCGTCCTCCGATCCAACGCGAGAACCGTCTCGTGACGTCTCTCGTTGCAGTTTTGTTTCCCAAATCGCGAGCGACGATTCGAGCAATGCAACGCGCGCGGCTCTCGTCGGGTTGCGCAATGGATACGTAAACTGTAAAATTGGCTCGTGCGTTGTCGTTCTTCGCCTCTCGGACCGAACCTCTGCAAGTGCGGTTCTTACGGTTAACGAGTGATCGAAAGCTCAGGTACGTAGGCGGCTCGATGCTAATGGTAACGGTAGCGGTAATAGCCACCGTAATGGTAATGGAGTAGTTGTGTTCCGGGTAGTTGTCACTCGGGAAAGGAACATCGGAAAACGTCCCGGCTTGGCACGCGCCCGCATTTACGGCCCGATGGATCAGAGAACGGTTCTCTCTCGTTTCCGGTCTCCCGCGAGGCATTACCGAACACCCGCGTCGTTATTTTTCTTCTTTAAACTAAACTAACTTCGAAAGATTCGTACCCGTTTTCATGGCAATTAACAATAATTGGTGGGAGAATGTTGGCGAGTTTGACTATAGTCGAAATCGAACGAGTATTCGTTTTTTAGTTAATTAAAACTTGGCTGAGAACAACTCGTTATGATAAAAATACTCGAGGATCGTAAAAGTTTGCTACTCGTGTCAGAGGAGCGTCGAAACACGCTCGTGTTAATTCCCAAGAGCAGGGGCGTTGTTCGTGTTACGCGGCTGCGATACAATTTGGTGCTTGTTGTTTCTTTTAGTTCGTTGTATCGTTCGATGAGCGGCGTCAGCGGTATGACGACAGCCGGGGCGACGGGAACCGGAAGTACGTATGGTCTTTCTTATATGACCGGGAGCCCTACGGAGTTGACCACCTCTCATCAGCAACTGTGGAACGCGCAAGGTAAACTAATAAAATGTATTCTTTGTACGTTCTTTTGATTCAATTTACGTATCGAATTACGCATACGTAAATCTAATACCAATAATGAAATCACGTATTGTCGATAGGAAACGGTCAATTTACGTTCACTTCACATTGTTCAGTTTACATTTAGTCAATAAATTAAAGGAAAGACTACAAAGAAATATAACACATAGTGATGCGATCACGAAGTGGACTAACTGATATTTGAAACGCTAGGTTTGAGTGCAGGGTTGCCAGGGATGTCGGAGGATTACAGCGGCAGCGGCAAGTCGTCGGGCACGGTTTCGCATCAGGCTCAGACTTTGCCTGGTTTCTCGCAACCTTTTTGTGGCAGGGCGAGCTTTCGCGGTTACAGCCCGTCATATTCGACGCAACAGACCGGTGTCGGAGTCGGAGGCTCGGTGGTTGAAACCTCGGCGTGGGCCAGCTATGCTCCACCCTCGAACGATTCGTTGACGGCTCCCTACGCAATGCCCTCCAGGCGACAAACCGTCAATCCACCTTCGACACCCACGCAGCATCAGCTCACAGCCACGGCTAGTCTTAGCGCAAGTGAGTACATATCTTCTTTTTGGCATTTATTATTTTCTTTTTACCGCTCGGCAAAAACAGCGCGGGCCATCCGTAATGAAAACGAAATTAAGAACTCTCCTTTTACGTTTTTATTTATTAACAGATTCTGCAATATACGTTAGGTTTTCCGTACACGTTAGATTAAAAACAGTCTTTGCATTCTCTGAAAATTCAATTTTTCAATACATGGACACAAGTCAAAGTTGATCCGAAGTGAAAATATTGTAGCTTGACTGGATACTTGCAGCTCTTTTTCTATTTCTTATTTAAAGTCCGACTAATTAGTTGAGCCAGTTGAGCGGACAACTCGAGTCTCTTTTTGTCTAGATGTCCATGTGGTGGAGAACGATCCGTGTCGCGTTACGAGCCGTTCGTAGATGTTTCGAAAAAACGATAAATCGTTTGAATGTTTGGAGGGTAACACGCACCAGCTGGGTCGTGTTCCAGTGATCGTAAATAACGGGAAAAAGGATTCGATCAGGACTCGCTCCGTTTTTTTGAGTTCGTGATTCGTTGAAACGCGAGGGGAAGGATGACAAGCCGAGTAGGTGCACGCGAGTCGTGACAAATTTTCCGGAGCCTCGCGTCGCCGGTGGCCTAATTTGAGTCCAGAGCTGACTCAGGACGAAGGATATCGCGTTACACTTTCGGTTGTATAGCTCGAAGGAAAGTGTTACGTTTTCCTTCCGCGGTTCGTTAGAACGTTTTCATTTGTCGATGAAATTAGAATTTCGCATAATTTGTCTTGGCTCTCTTATCTTGAATATACGGAGTGGAAACTTACTTCGCGCTTGAAACCGGCGCGGGCGTTCACGCGACAAGAGCAAGGGATAAGTATATATGTATACATACATATGTGTAGCTGATCGTACGAATTTCTCTGGTTATCGCCACAACCTGGGGTCCGTTATCAGTCTCATGGGTCGCCGGCGTGTGACCGATGACACGAACGATTCCATTTTTAAACGTCGGGCATTGCCGACCGCTACAGATTATTAAAATTAGGAATGATTGTCTTCTAAACTGCTGCGCAATGCCACAACGTCGGTAATGATTCTCCAGCGTTATTCATAAATGCGATCAGCGTGGAACGGTGATCGCAACGTGATGCCGACGCGTGTTACTCGTGAACACGGGTGAACAAGCATCAGCTGTTCTTCGCGAGCCAGTCGGTCGTCGTATACGTATACCGTATCGAACAAGGCATTGATACACGCGGACCATGACCTAGACAACGCGCATACTTCTAATCTAGTTTTGTCTACGCGCGATACAGAAGAAACGATAATAGGTCTTTAGTCGTGTGTTCGGGAATTGCGAATTTCAGATAGTTCCCAACCGTATCTCCGTGCGGCAGTAGTACTTGTGTTAACGACTCTGAACGATCAAATGGTAACGCGTGTCGATGCCATTTATGTCGTATGTTTATTACATTGTTCATCTCGGATACACTTGTGTTGTGTTACCTCATCATGAATTGATTCCTGTTATCATGGTAAAATAGCTAGTGGCATAGGATATCTTTTGTATAAAATCAGTGTTTAATAATGTATTAAAGCGTAAATAGACCGAACGAATTAGAACATACAGTAAGTGGAAAAATATATTAACTCATAAAACATGCCCTAGCGGATCGAATGTACGTTTTTTATAAGCGGACTTCCGTGCCACTGAATGAAATGGTTCGAGCTCTGTAGTAACGATTGGAAATTCGTCTCGGTTCGTTTATATATCGAAAAACATCTCGTTGTTCGCGATCTGACCCGTTCTCTCGCGAATCGTTATTTTTACGCCGCATTATTGTAACGCCGACGGTCACCGCGATAACGGTCACGTCGCCTCGAGTGCATCACGCGCCGCAATCTCGCCGAAGGACTCCGCTGGTTCAAAAGGTCGACCGGATTGTTTTTTATTCCGATCGACGTAAATCTGCGTGAATAGGGAACGAGAAGAAATAATAACCGTCTCTCACTCATTACCAATAAAATGCGGTATATTCGTGTCGCAACGATGAAAGACATTTCAATCTCAATTACGTGTTTTTAAATGGACATTAAAAATGTTTTATTTTGCAATGTATGACCGGACGCTCATCCACGTTATGGAAAGCTTCTGGAAAAAGGGATTGAGAGTTGCATCTAATAAAAGACGGGACGCGTTGCGCGACGGTGGGATGCATAGATTAGTACAGGCGGTCGGTATGGTCTGGCTTGGCGGTGAGCAAAGCGAAGTCGAAAGCCGTTTAAGTGGCGCGTGGTCTTTTTCGAAAGCGGCGCGGGTGTCTGCTAATCCCGAAAGCCAGGGGGAATACGGCTTTTAACATACCGCGATCTCGAGTGGTTTTTGAACGAACCAGCTCGTGGCCGGGAAAGGGAGTGCAAGAAGACGCATTGCGACGATCCACAGAAAACTTTGACTTTCCCATCGTACATCACACGTATACCTACTTATATAAATACGTGTATGGAGTCGTTTTGCGGCTGGCTTCTGCCCTGTGTCTTCTCTTTTCGATTGCCCGCACGTGGCCTTCTCTGATTCAACTTCTGAGCGTGTTACACGTGATTTTCTTAAGAATTATCCGAACTCGTCAAAATTCCCTTCCCCATTGCGAAAATAATTTGCGTGTAAGACGCGATATTGTTTCTTTTCCTAACCCCTCCGTCAGTTTGACGCACTTGCTACAAAAATATTCATTCGCTTATCATTAGACAGCGGATTTTTATGCATTCGTAATACTGCTTATCACATACGAAATAAAAGTCTGTTTATTAAGTTTCCACGAATAATTTCACGAAGGAATAAATAAAAACATCTTTTAAAAGAAAATGTATTTATTTCCTTATTTTGTTATCGTTACACGAAAGTAACAAAGTCAATTGAGAAAATAAGCGGACGAGGGATGAAGTGTTTTTCTTATTTTACGACTCTCGTTTCTTAGCAATCGGTTAAGAGGCATTGCTCTGTTTTGCCCTGTAACGTAAGACACGCACGAGGTATTCGCGGCACTCTTCGTCGACGATGGCACACCTCCACCCCTCTACTCTCCCTGGTGCTTAACAGTACTTTTGTCTCTATCCTCTTGCTCGGTTCCTCTTTGTCCCTTTACGCTTCGTCAAGTAATTCGACTCTCCTATTCTCATTCCCCGTCGCTTCGTCATCTTCTCTGTGGCGTCTCGGACGTCGTTGAATATTCGGTTACGAAGAAATCTAGCGTTTCGGTAATGTACGATGCGCTTGCGTTCTCCGAGCTGTCATTTTGCTATCATTCGAATCGGTCCAAGAAGAAAGTTTTAAAGAGAACTGATATAAACTCCACCGCTGTCATGCGCATAGAATTTGTTAGATATTTAGATCGATTCGTACTACTCGGAGCGTCTGGAGTAAATCTTGTGCTGCTCCCCACAGTCCTCTTACCAGAAGGTCTCGTTTCTTTACCTACTCCGTGGCCTCTCTCAGAATATTTTTATTATAAACTAACAACACCATGGCATTAAACATCAGCCACGACGCGAATCCTTCTGATGTGCAACAAAGTACCCCTCGAGTCGCACATGCCGTGACTTCTCAGAATTCTCCGCGCTCTCACCGGCAATCGTCAATTATCGATGCTTTTATTTCTACCTAGAATGTATTTGTCCTTTGACAGACACAAGGCTCCGAATGTCGGCAGCTTTTGAGAACCAGGCCGCGCATTCCTCACGTGTCCACCCCGACACGCGCAATCGTCCCCAAAAACGATTTGCCGCTAACAAGTTATTTCGATTCAATTGTACAACATACATACATTTACTGATAACACTTATCAAAATATTAAAAAACTGATTCATTCTAATGAATTGAAGACGGAATGTACAATAATTCGTTGCCTCCATCGGGGATTGAAAACTAGCCACGTCGCGTCGGTGTCCACAGGTTCTCTTCGCTTTCTCTTTCACCTCCGTTCGTTGACGGTCTCGCGTTCGGTACAGGAATCACATGAGATGGTCGGCAACGTCAGCAACACTTTGCTTACTAATATACAATATCCGATTGCTTCCCAGTGCCAGTTTCTGCCGGATACGCGACTACCGTACACCGACCTCTTCTCTCCGAGAACGCGAAAACATTCACTGCGCCGTTCCTTACAGTTTTATCGCGATCGAGAATCGTATCCGAGATATACCTGGCATGCGTATTTAGCAGCGACTGCTAATTGTTATTATCGAGAAACGCCGGAAGCTCCGATAACGCCGTGTCCTCCCTTCTACATCTTCCGTCGCGCATTGCTGCGTTTCCTGTATCCTTCCCCCTTTTCGCGCGGAACGCGACTCGGTTTCTCGTTTCACGCGCCTTCCGGCTGCACACTTGCTATTTCCCGTTGCTACATTTTTAGTTCAAATTAACATCGATAAAACTAGCAAGAGAAAATCGTTTTCTAAATTATCTATAATTAAAATAGGAATCTATTGGGAAACTATTAGCCCGGAGGTGAACACGAGAATTAATTAGTAACTACTCTGGTCGCGTTGCAACACATAAGGCCTCGAGGCTTACCCTCGCTTTCCCAAGTCATTTTCACGGTGAAAAGTGAAGCGTTAAGGATGTATTGGCTATACAGTCAATCCCAAAAGTTTATGTACTTTAGAAACGCATTTTTTAAAAAGAAATCAGACGTCGGAAGAATATTGCTAATAATAAACAACAAAAAAAATTTTCGATTTTTCCGAGATTTTTCCAAGGGGTACCCCTTCAGATTTTGCGAAATTTTCGTTTTTTGCCAATAACTCCCAAACGGCTGGGCGTAGTGGGACATTTATAGGACCATTTTATAGAGGACGACGATATCTACAATTTCCATGTAAAAGTTCTTCGCTAGCGTCAATAGTTAACGAGTAATTTGCAAAAAACTGTTTTTTCGTTTTTCGTCAGTAACTCGTTAAATATTAATGCTAGCGAAGAATTTTTATATGGAAATTGTAGATCTCGTCGTCCTCTACAAGAAAGATTTTATGCAATTTTTCCGTATGTCCAACGGTTTGGGAGTTATTGGCAAAAAACGAAAATGTTTGTCAAAATTTGGCTGATTCGACAGTCGGATTTTGTCAACATCAATAAAATGCCAAATAATCATACGTAACTCGTTAAATATTAATGCTAGCGAAGAATTTTTATATGGAAATTGTAGATATCGTCGTCCTCTATAAAATGGTCCTATAAATGTCCCACTACGCCCAGCCGTTTGGGAGTTATTGGCAAAAAACGAAAATGTTTGTCAAAATTTGGCTGATTCGACAGTCGGATTTTGTCAACATCAATAAAATGCCAAATAATCATACGTAACTCGTTAAATATCGAAGTTAGAAGGAAAACAACTTTTATTTGAAGCATTTTTCGAAATTTTGAAGAAAAAAATTTTCGTCAGCGTCAATACTTAATTGGATATTTCCTTCTATACTTTTTAGCACGTAGCTATTTATTATTAGCATTGTTCTTCCTACGTCTGATTTCTTTTTAATAATAGGAAATGCGTTTTTCTAAGGTATATAAACTTTTGGGATTCACTGTATAGCCAATACATCCTTAACGTGGTTCTCTGAAGAAATTCCTGTTGTTTCGAAACGTCCCGTTAGATGCGTACATCCTGACAAGTGAGAACGTCAATCGTGTTCACGTAGTATCCATCGATGGATTTCAGTTTTATTATAATTGTAAGAAACCCGTACGGTGCTCGGTGCGAATGTAACGGAGCTCTTGACGAAAAGGTTGCCCAAAAACTGGTACAGGTATTGAAAATATACGAATCCGCACAGTGCACAACATCGAGGCGGAATACTTTACGGAGGGACGGGAGTGCGTAAATTGCGGGGCGATTTCCACTCCGTTGTGGCGACGGGACGGCACCGGCCACTACCTCTGCAACGCGTGCGGTCTCTACCACAAGATGAATGGGATGAATCGTCCACTGGTGAAGCAGCCACGCCGACTGGTAAGGAAGTGGGAAATCGAATGTAGCATCTCGAGACGATTTTCTCTCTCTCATTGCGCAGAGAGAAAATCGAACCGAGACGAACTGAGCCTACGCTACGTAGAACAGGAGCCTGTGTGGAAATTTGCCCGTTGACAAGGTGGTTTTGCCATTCGTGTGCGCCAGCACGTTGGGGCGTTTGACGCGCCGGTTTTCGCGGATGGCACGTGACGACGCACGCGAATCTGACGAGTTTAAAGAATGTTTCGAACAGCAGCAAGCGGTACTGCGAAACGACAAAAAACGAACGAGCGCACGATTAGAAGCACCCCTAACGTTTGGCATCCTGTCTCTGTTTCAGTGGCGGACCAGGGCGATTTCTACAAAGGCTTCTATGGGTATAGTGGCGCCCGTCGCGCCTGCGAGGAGAAATCGAGCCGGCGTTTGGTAGGTGTCATCCCCCGAACACGCTACCTGACTCACGTTTTCGACATACCGTACAGACACGCCCACAGATACACTGACATATGCATATTCTCTCTCTCTCTTTCTCTCTCTCGTTTCTGTCGTTCGCTCTTTCTCACTCTTTCTCTACGCCATGAGCAGATTCGAACGTTCCTCTCCCGTTCCATCTTCTGTCTATCGTTATCACCGTATCCATCTCGTCTCGACAGGTACGTGTTTCATCGTACTCGTTCACCCAACCCTATCCCTCATCGATTCGCTTTTACTTGGTCGCACTTCCCTCGAAAGTTCGAATAGAGAGCCTCCTTCCCCATTGTACCTCGCATCTAGCGGTAGCGCAACACTCTAGCTAACGTAGAGAATCTTGTCGTAGCTTCGAGGTGCCACTATACCCATGGTACGGTCGTCCTCCGTTTCGAAATTGTACGTAGCCTGATTGGTAAACGAACTAACGAACGAACGATTCCTTAACGATTTTGCTCCCTTGTTCTTGTCGACTGAGCACCAATGACAGGCTCGTGCGATTTCGCACGGAGAAAATAGCCGATCGCGCTGCTTCGCACGTAACGCCGCGTTACGCGCGAGACAGCGTTCGAGCTTGAACGATCGTAAGTTCAGTTGTAGACGTAAGCTTTCAGTACTCTCCTTTCTACTGTTTCCAATCTTTATCGCTAGATATCCTATCCAAGCTCCTGCAAATATTCGACCCACTCTTAGAGCGCACACTTTTAACATGGATTCGTTTTGTGACAGTCTTCTGTCTCTCCTGACTTTGATGTTCGAAGTAACTGATATTGATATTTCGATTTGGCAATTTTTTTTGTTAGTGTGCGTTACACCTTGTTCTATAGTTCCACTCCATCGTTCGAGCTTTCTCTTTTCCCGCGTGCGCAACGGGTGCGGGTTTCTAAATGCGATTTCGTGTGTCCGCAGTCTGCGTCAAGACGGGCAGGCACTTCTTGCAGTAACTGTCAGACGATGACGACGTCGCTGTGGCGTCGGAATACGGTGGGTGAACCCGTCTGCAACGCGTGCGGTCTTTACTTCAAGCTGCACGGCGTGAACAGGCCTCCGACCATGAAGAAGGAGAGCATTCAGACGCGGAAGAGGAAACCGAAGGGAGGCATGAAGTCCACCGACACACCAATCGTCGGGAACGTCGCCGCTTGCGCGAACAACACCAACGCCGCGAACAACAACAACAATAATAATAATAACAACAACACGTTGAAGTTGGAACCAGGTAATTTATATTATTATGATTCTATACAATAAGTCGATAAGAAGAAAATAATTGATTATTCTCGTGTTTCAATTTTATATAAATTTTGCATGCAATGGAATTTCATTGAACGACCCTCACTATTTCTCAATATCGTGATCTTAGTCAAATACGCTCTCAAAATTGCGACTTCAGATTAAGACTGTTTTACTTACAATTAGTCGAATGTTTCGTACATTTTCAGATACTTACGGAGACCTAAGGATGACCCAGGTTGCCCAGGCAAGCTACGGCAATACCCTTTACGGTAGTCCGCAGTCTTCCGGGTCAATCGTTTGCTATTCGCCGATCACATACCACGATATGATCGCCTCGCAGCAGCAACAACCGCAGCAGCAGCAGCAGCAGCAGCAGCATCAGCAACTACTCGAGAATCACTCGCCTAAGGTCGAGTGTCCATCACCGCCTTGCGCGAATCGGTCGCCAGGGATAATATCCGCGGGTCACTCGCCGGATCATCATCACCAGCTTACGACCCCGCACATTGTCACTCTGGGTAGCAATTCCTCGCCGAGTGCGGGAGCCACGAAAATCATTTTGGACAACGGTCACCCCAACAGACCGACAGTCGTCTCGATATCGTCTTAATTTCTTAGACGCTACAAGCCTGTCTCCTGGGCTACCAGCTCGTTAAAATTCGAAGGATTCGTGAGTGATGAACGCACTTTTTAAAGGAGTGACGGGAGCGTGCAAAGGAACCGTTGTTTCGTCGATTTCTTGATGAGTAATAAACCAATGATGGAAAAGACTTTTCCGTTCGGATCGACAAACGGGGATGAACGCTTTCCGTGTCATCGCAGTTCGCGATTAGATACGTGAACAAAATCGTGATCGTGGTAAAAGTTAAGTATAGAAAGGTAGGAATCGTTTACAATTACGAGTTTTATAATTATTGAATTCTAAGATACTGCTCCTCTATCGTGACACCTGCGTGGTCTCCTGGTAGAGCGATGTAAAAGATAAAAAAGACAACCGTGATAAACGTAAAATCGCGTAGATAGTAATAGGTATCTGGCAAATAATGAGTTACATCGAGAACTAGGCAAACAAATTACTTCGTTTATTTGCCTAGATAGAAGAAATGTGAAGCGAGAACAAGGTCAGAAATTATATCGCCGTATTGTTTCTTATAGTGAAGAAATCTATTGATCAACTTCTGTACAATTCAGACATTTAGAAGAAAAGATGATGATTACGAAACGTTGTAAATAGTTTCGCCAAGTGCAGCACGTGCTCCTAAAATTGAAAAGAGGATGCGTAAGATTGTTAGCAAAAATTTATTGTCTTTATCGTTTCGATTTTCATATACGCGAACGACAAGTGAAACCGATCGTCGGCCTTCCTTCCTTCATTGTGTTGTAAATAGAAACATTAACCGAAGTACTAATTGCAAGCGTAGAGATTCAAGAGTGAACGTACGAAAGGACGATTGAAAGCTGGTAACGGTCGCTACGTCGCTCGGTCACTGTCCGCGTAGATGTATACGACACTGCTTTGTGAGTACAAAAGCGAAGATACGAAACATAAACTTGTTATATTAAGCCAAAGCGGACACGGACGAATTGTAAGATTGTTCGTATACTACCGAAAGTGTGTTGTATCGAATCCATTATTTTTAAATAAAAAGGGATATTTAAATCGGAAGGAGGAATCCGTGAAAAGAAATCTGGATTGGGAAAGAGACGCGAGGGACACCGCGTCGGGCAGCAGCTGGTGGATAGAGGTGTCGGTGAACGCGGCAGGAAAACTTCATCCCTGTGTATTTTTGGTGATAACCGACGCGATATCACGAACCAACTAATCTCGGTTAAAGGTTGGAACGGCAACGGCAACGCAAGGGGCCCCTCATTGGCGTAACCGGTGGGAAACGAAGAAGCAGTCATGTCTCGTGGATCTGAAAGTCCTATCTACAGTGGCGAGTATACAGGGTGTCCTGGTAATAACTCGTCCCGGAGAAAAATCCATTCTATGCGGAGATATCGATGTAGTGTAATTAATTTTAATTTAGTATAGAAAATAAGTTGTTAAATATTTTTTGATCGATTAAATCCGGACGAATTTGACAAGAAATAATTAAATCAGCAGCTAGAGGACATTCTGCACGAATAGGGAATTGCAATGCGTCAATTTTATATTATAAATAAAACTGTAAAACCCTCCGCCGTGTACAGTTTCTCATCTAGAAAAACGTATTTTTAAGAAACGTTTTATGTCAGCTAACACGATGCAACAGTATTGTTCGTTTTTATGCTCGCCACTGTAAATAAACAAAATAGTTTAGTGCCCATTATCACGCATGGGAAAACGAAGATGTCAAGCTGGGCTTAAGCCTTGCGTCTTCGCACGATTTTACGACCGTGTCTCACCTGACCGCGCCTTATCGAAGGAATCCCGTGTGTGCTCTGCAAGTATGTCGACACCCTTTGCTCTAAACTCGCGCTCGCCTCTCGCACTGTTTTCAACGATAACGCTACGCACTCACGTCTGCTCCAATTCTTTCTCTCTCTCTCTCTCTCTCTCTCGCTCGACTCATAAACCCCTGTTCTGATGTTAGTGTTTGAAATGACAATGATTACGGTAAAAAATATACTAGCTCATTATTAAAATATAAAAAAATCGTACACTACGATATTGAAGAACGAATATTAAAATTGATTTTCGATTCCAGTTTTAAATATAGTATTTTTAAATGTGATCGCAAAAGCAAGGGGGAGAGAACAGGGGTTGAAAGCGAGGGTCCGGTACCAATATGTCGACGGGAGTGGAGCGAAAACGAATAAAACGTTATCATCGACGTGTCGCGAGGGTAAAACGGTGCGAAGTGGCGATTCGTTTGCATCCATCTAAGCCTAATCGTGTTCGGTCAATATTTAACGCGGTTCCCGGTTGCTCTCGTTCGGTCTCCCTGCCCGGATCGAAGCTTCGGTTTGACGCTACCAGACGGCAGACGACCCGAACCGTCGGCACAGAGACACCTTGGCGGTGCACCTGTGTCAAGCCGCGTTCGTTCGTTCTCTCGCTCTCGATTCGTAACCACGTCGCGACGCGAGTCGACCGACGATCGCCGACACAGACACAGACCCGCTCTGCGGTAACCGTCATTCACGAGAATCTTATCATTGGAATCACGTTCCTCTTCGCTCACCTATCACGGTAAGTCGACTCTTTCAACTTTCCCGCTTCGCCTTCGCTCTTCTCACCCTTTTCCGTTTTCGTATTCAAGTTCGACTCCTCTGCTATTTTTCCACTTATCCGCTTACTCTTCTTTCCGGCTTCTCTTCGATACTTCTAGGTACTCGATTTCTCTTGCGTCGCCGATGGTATCGTTTCGTCGCGGATTAAATCAAAGTCGAAAAGACCAGCGAAAGGGCGAATTATTAAATCTGTAAGATCAATCATCTACGATTCCATCTTGTTCGATATCCGTTAAACCATTGATTCTGATTAATCGATTAACAATTCACTGAACGCACGGGAGACGGAAGACTAAATTCTAATATTATCTATCGAACGTCAAAGTAAAGGGTTTAAAAAGAAGAAGAGATGTTGCTTTAGAACTCGTGGCAAGACGAGGCGCGGCGCGACGCAACGCGTCAAGGCGAATCGAGGCGGATGGGATCCGATATTTGGAAAGACGTAACTGGTTCGTTCAGACCCGTGGCGCGTGCACGATCCAAACGAAACACTTGTGTTTTACGTTTACGTTCGACTACACTTGTATTACCGCGGATGCGCTCGTTTCTCTTCCCGTGTTCCGTGTGTCCCGAGCCATGCAACGCGTCGCTTTGAGATTCACGCGAATCGCGAGAGAAAAAACGAGATCGTCGCAGCGAGTTACCTCGGCGACGTCTGCTGGGAAACTATACGATATCGAGACGAGATAACTACCCCTGAGCGCAGATATTTTATTAATCGTTAAGCACATAGCCGCCGTAAGATAATGAAATAATATCGGGCAACGATAATGCTGTTTGTGCTCGTGCGAACGTTAATTGTCGTCGCGTGGTCGCGGCGTAGCGAGCGCTTAGGAAAATCAAAATCGGATCTGTGCAATGGAACGGAGAGAACGGAAGATTTCCTAAAAGACGCGTTGGGATCGTTCCTCGTCGCCGCTTTCGCTGTTTACACGGGAAGACGTTGTCGTCGTCGAGTGTTTATTCATTAAAACCGACAGACAGGGTCTTGCGCGTTGTAAATTATTACGGTAATTGCGTTGTAAAACGCGCGAACGTGCGCAAGAAGAGTCATCACGGCGCGGCGCGGCGGATCCCGCGTTATCAACCGGATCGGATTGTAAAGAGCTTAGGTTCCGCGATGTTTCTAAAATTTTCAACGAACAAAAGGTTCTGCCCGGTATCACGATTGCGTCCGTCATCGATAAAATTGGAAATAAAAATCTCGGATCGTCGCAGATCCAATGACTCGGAGTAATGGAAAGTTACAAGCCGACGCTCGATCCGATTCGAGGAGAAAACGTTGCGTAACGGATATAGGTGTGCGTCAGCCCCTTTCGCGCGTACGGCCACCACTTTTCGATCGGAATAAAAAAAAAAATTCGCTTCTTCCACATTGCGTTCTCTCCACGACTTCTGATACCGCGTTTGCGCGCAAACACATACGCACCCATACCGGCTCACCTGGGATTTTCATTTAGCACTGATAAGAATTTCCTACTCGACTGATAAAGAAAATGGCCTCGCCGTGTTCGCGATTCCGTGTCACATGACGCAACCCCGTGCCGACTCTTTCCAAAAAATGTATTGTAGCTTTATTGAACAAACGGAAACACTTTCAGGAAACGAACAAACAAGCCGAACGGCGACGTGCGATTACGCGGCGAACAACACGTATGTTCTCGTAGCAGCACTTTTCAATTTTATAGTCCCATCGTTCTTTCAATAGGACACTTCACTTGGTAATATTGTAAAACGTCAACACTCAATCAATAGTTATTCCTTTTTTTCGAATGCACGAACGAATTGACCGTAACAGTGAATGCGAACAGATTTCAAAGGAGCCGTGACGGTAGTCGAGCGAATGTCAGTTCTGAGGGTAAGCTTTCCCGTGAACTACGATCCGCGGAGCAGAGAAACAGCCCTACGCCTTCCTGGCGGACCCGACGACTGAAATTATCATTTTAGCTGATATACTAGCTAATGTAAGGATGCAGTTTTATCTCTTATTATCATGGGAAACGAGATAAATCGCGATAGTGTCGTTTATTTTGACAACGGCGTGCCTCTCAGTAACGCAACAGCTCGGTGCCCATCGACGAACGCCGATTCGCACTCTCGTCTTCCCTTCAACCCTTTCCCTCACGATCCTACGATCTATTCTCTTTACCGAGGCCCTAATCAACTCCTCGACCGAGTTTTAATTCTCGTTTAAAAATTCAAACAATTCTCATGTAAATTCGTTCATCGATCGAGGAAAAAATATTCGGTAAGCGTTTCTCGATCGATCAGCAACGAGGCCGAAGAACATCGTGACTTCGTCGATTCCTTATCACCCTTATCGAAGATATACCGCGAACCAATCTACGTTTCCTTCGTTCACCGATAAACAATACGTTTTTTTCGATTCGATGCTAGATAGCCGCCTAACACAGATAGACTCGTTTTTTTACCGCGGAAACTTTCCTTGGATCTTGTCCTGCTTGCCTAGAAGGTCGCCGATTTTTACAACCGATGTTCCTGCAGCAGATAAATACAACACCTGTTATATTATTGCATTAGATAAATTTGATTGATGTGAATTAGATAAATGAAAGTAAACGAACAAAAGAAAATAAGATTGTTATTTGTATTATGTCACATTGATTTTATATTTAATTATTATAGAAGAATCTTCGTCGATAAAACCTTTTGATTTATTTATATCACTTTCATTCATTAATCGGTGAAAATTTATTTTTGTAAGAATTCGTAGATCTTTACTCGATATTTGTATATCAGATAAATTACAGTGTACAACTTTTGTAGGCGTCTGAGAATTAATTGTAGGCAGTGATCGAGAGGCTTATCACAATTGAATCTTCGCGTTGCAAAGAACGGCGGGTGGACAAGTTTCGCGGGACAAGACGCGTTTCTGATTTTTATCATGACTTCTCGAGTAGGTATAATCCGCGTCAGCCGCCTTGTTCTCTTGGCACGTACGCCTCGTGACATTTTTTCCTCTATTAACATGAGTTTTCGAATGGCCACGATTAGGGATCGTCTGCGCTATATTCGCAGTGACGTTAAGTTTGCGAAGATGAATCAGACGATTGAGGATCAGTGACGTAACGATGATTAACGAACGATGACGAACACGAATTTTAAGGCGTGATACGGATTTAACTGTCTTTCAAGTTAAAATTTTTACTTCTTGCGATAACAGGCAGGCAGCAATGTTCTCTTACATAATCAACTACTATAAATAGATTCATTTTTGTAAGAGTTAAATGCAAGCCACAGGGGAGGAAGAAAAAAATATGGGGAGAGTAGAGGTGATTTTTAGGCCTTGCGATAAGCAGCGGGTGCGATGCGATGGGTGCGAGTGATTCACCACGTAGGTGCCACCCTACCAGCGGTTGCGACGAGTACGGCGAAGCGCGAGAACGGTATACGCACGGCAAAATGGCGTTTGACAACGATGGCTGACGAGGAGGACGAGGAGCGGCGGAGGTGAATAGTAAGTCCGTGGACACCTCTCGCGATCCCCTCGCGCATCAGTTCCCTCCCCAACCCCTCGTTTAAACGCAGTTATCTTGCTCGTGAGCTAGTGAGCGGCCGCTCGTTATCGGCGAGCAAACAAACGGACCCCTCCGTTGCCTCTTTTCACTCGATAGCCAGAGATTCTCGGCTCGTCTTCCTCCTCTCTTTCGTCAGTTTTCCGTCGAAAACAGGGAAAAGTATAAACGTTCACGCTCGGCGACACCGGCTCGGTGTTGCCTCGTACGTGCTCGCACGATTTATTTTCACTCCGTTGCTCATTCGGTTTCGCGTTGGGAACCATCAGACAGGTGTAGTGCGTCCGCGTCATCGGGGGTGTGTAGTGAACGTTCAAACTGACAGGCTTGATGTTCATACATGTACTTCGAGGTGCTCGTCCTTCAATCTCCTCCGACAATCTTTCGTTAAAGGTATTTGTTTTGCAACGGTTCCCTTATATTAATTGTAATCGTGCCAGGATATGATTTTAAGTGATCGTTTGCTGAAAGCATTTGCGTACAGTGACTCACCGATTACTAAAATTATCTAACCATCTTAATCGGTATTACAGATAGAAAGACGATGCGTGAGTCATTGCATGCATATTGCCCCGTAATTTATTACACAATGCAGAGAATCAAACAGACACTAAATCGGACGAGTTCAGTAACTTATTGTTAGTGCGTACGTAGAGTACTTATGTCTAGTGGATTCTGAGTACGAGGGCGGAAGAAGCAGGTACCGAATCCGCTCGGCAAGCGTCTCGCGCATACATCCTTCTCCGTCGAAAGAAAGAGTGGTCGCGTGCTCGGTCCGGAAGTCGAAACTTGACATTGTTCGAAGGGAAGTGTGACTCGAGCCAGGGTAAACACTGGTTCGCCGGTTTTTTCTTCAGACGGACGAGGCGCGCCGTTCTTTCCTTCACCTCCCGTCCCCTGCTTCTTCCTGTCTTCCTCGCATTCTCTTCCGTCCCTTTCCGCGCGATTCTTTCTCCTCGACCTCATCGAATCATTCCTGTTTATTGTCCCGTTTTAAAATCTGCTTCAATTAAGATTAAATTCCGCGCCTCAAGTGCTTTACAAGTAAACAATACTTAGCGCTGCATTTTGCAAACGTGTGCCGAGGATCGAATGTATTTTTTATATACGCCTCGTCATTGAGTTGGATAGACGAATATTCAGTTAGTTTTCTGCACGTGGAATGATCGTCGTTCGCAGGACGCGATGAAGGAGACGTTGCCTAAGCAGGACATGAAACGCGAGTGGGAGGAGAATCGCGGCGAAGAGAGTTCGCCACGAATGATCAAGACCGAGGAGCAATCGGTCGAGAGTTCCCGGACAGTGATCACCTCGAGGAGGCACGTGCGCACGATAACGACGACCGGCCACATAACAGAGGCCGTTGCCGAGCCGGAACCAGATTCGCCTGATTCTAAAGCTATATCAGTTGGTCTCCAACTAGAATCACAGCAGGAGCAATCTGATCAACAATCTCGTGCGCGCGCTTATCAGGAAGAGTCACAGCAGGATCAAGGGTGCAAAGAACTGTCGCCGCAATTCGTGCATATTTCGCAGGCAGACGCGGATATACAACAGCAGCAACACCGTTCAGGCGAACACATCGTTTATATAACTGGTCAGATACAAGTCGAAGAACCGAAAAACGTGGACCCTGGCTTGATTGTGAAGGAAACTAGGTAAGCTGAACATGAAATTACTCCTAATTTATTCAATTAACATTAATGCTACTGTGGCCGAAATTTCATCACATGGTTTTCTAAAAAGTAACAAATTCAATATTTTATTATTATTAAATATTGTACGAAATATAAAAATGTTTTATCTACAATAATTACAAATAATATGACTATAGATATTATATATTTGGAAAAACTACAATAAACTTCTCGAGAGGTGAAATTTTACTCCAAGTAGCATTTAAGAATTAAAGAATCGAATTCTATCCATACATATATACGTGTACATATGTACTATGCTTGCGTAAGGATTCGAGGTGTAAGTATTTACGTATCTGCATGCAATGTATGTAATACTGTCGATACATAATAGGCAATAATAAGTACAGATAAATACGACGGCATGAATCAAATCAATGGGATCAATTAGTAGTAGCGCGTCATGTTATGATATCGCGATATCGAATCGGGTATTTTTGTAATAAAGGTACGAGACGTCGGAGCCCGAAAGAACAGACACGGACCGGATGTACTACTCCGCGGACAGTCAGCAATTCCGGAAAGAAAATCACGGCATATCGGTTCAAGGGCAGGAAAGGCGGGTTCAATCCGGGAACAATCATCACAGATACAGTCCCCGAGAAGGGGTACAGTCTACCGCTGGAAACGGACGACCGTATCACCAGGGTTCTCCGGTTCTCGTACCAACCACCGAGGAGTACGGTAGCGCGATAGTCTCGCACACGACAGAAGCCGTGAGCATTCAGTTGGACTCATCTGTGGGTCCTGCTTACTCGCCACCGATCAGCGATAATGGTCTTCGAACGGACCCGTCTAACGGGCAACAACCTCCCCAGCATCATCAGCAACATCAAATGGTCAGCGGTTACGTGAACACCAGTGGCGCAGGGAATATCAAGTATGAAGCAGAAGCGAATGTGGTGGCAACGAATGCTGTCCCTTTGGCAACTGCTGCCGACAGCATGAAAGTGTCGTACACCACTTTGGAGACGGTTCCCATTCCGCCGTCGCAGGCGGTTCAGTATTCGCAGTTCATAAGCGGCGCCGAGACGTACCCACAACCACCCAGCTACGCTTATACGAAGCCTGGCGACCAGGTGATCCTCACATACCACCAGTCTTCGTTGGCTTCTCGCGTGGGTGGGGTGGAACCTCCTGGAAGTGCGTACATAAAGGGAGACCCGACGTTGGCGTCTTCTCTGGGTAACTCGCGAGGGTTGTCCTTCCAATACGAGCAGCCGGGCTCGCCAGGGTCTCAGGTGCCTTTATACACCGGGACCACGTACCATTATGCGAAACCAGCGACGTCGGCCGAGTATTGGTCAACCACCGAGACTCCGTCACCGCCGTCGTACGATTATCAAAACGTGACAGCGATCCCCGTCGGCGATGCGGCGAACATGCAGCTCTACTCCGGCGGCGCGTACAGCGTCTCGAGCGGAGGCAATACGGGTCCGTCCCCGTGGCCCGGTTTGCCATCGTTGACCGGCGCTGACGATGGCTTCGAAGATTCCATAATGACAGAAGCGAAAGAGTGTCCTGGCTGTGCGTCTCCTGCTATATGGAGGAGAGACGAGACCGGCCAGTTCTACTGTCACGGTTGTAAAATGAATGGAGTGAGCAGACCAGTGATGAGGGGCAGCAAACCAAAGCAACCTATACCACCGGTAACTATTTTTGCTTCATTGAACCAACAAAAAATTTTTGAATCCGACACTCTTTCCTGCTTACTACATCGGTACATATTAGCTTTCCTCTTTTTCCTCGACAACCGATCTCGCTTCTCTACCTTGTTCCCTCTCTATCCTGCCACCCGAACCTCTCAGCAAACGTAATCCGCGAGGTATGAAAAAGTACTAGCGTTATCTGTGGCTGAGCAAACAATCCCGTTGAGGCTTACGCCGGTTGTTGTTTACTCTATTTAGTTTCTACGTCGCGAACGCTCCCATTTTCGCATTCCCGAACGTAGGCGCGTGCTAGTTCCACGAGCTACGTTTTCCAACGCGGATCGTTGGATTTTTTTTCAGACGAGCGTGAGGAGGACGGGCGTCCAATGTGCAAACTGCAGGACCAGCAACACAACTCTCTGGCGGCGGAACAACAACGGAGAACCTGTCTGTAACGCGTGCGGTCTCTACTATAAGCTACACCAGGTAAAATTATATCAACAATTCTCAGATATACTACTGTCTAATAATTGATTATTATAGTAAACTTCCCAATTTCTGTTTACGTCACATTTCGACTCACTATTGTATTTTTCCATAATTTAATAATATTAAGAACAACCAATTTATATAGTACAAACTCTTGAAACCCTGGAACTTTTAATAAGTCATAGGTCCAGGAGAATAAAATAAAAATCCTAGAACTTTTAACACTTAAAATGATAGAAAAACACTGCAATGAGTAGAAATTGGAACGTGGACAAAAATTAGGACATTTACTATTTACTATACATATACCGATATCAATAAATTTCAATTGATTCCTAAGAACCTCCAATTCCTTAAGATATAAGAGTAAAGGCTTGATTCATAGTACAATCAGATCACGTTTTATCAAACAGCGGTCGAACTCGGCTATACATTAAAAATAATATATGAAACCTTGTACAGAAGATTGTATTAAGGATGTATTGGCTATACAGTCAATCCCAAAAGTTTATGTACTTTAGAAACGCATTTTTTAAAAAGAAA